ATCTCGCTCCTCGTCATCGTCAGCGTTTGCTCCTCGACGCGGGGTTGTGTTTGTGTCTGCTCCGGCACCTCCTGAATTTGCTTTCCCGCACGTCGAGACATCTCCGTTGACTTCTTCTCTCCTAAATTGTCCAAGCCTCCCCTAAACTCCTCATTCAAGTTCCTCTGCAAACCCTCCTTCTCAGCCATAAGAAACAGATCGGAGCTAGGTGCAAAGCTCTTAATTCCTTCAAGAACTCCCCACAGACGGCGCCAAAATGATGGGTCTAGTTCTAGATCTGAAGAGAACCGATGGTTTTGAGCTCAGATCTGCTTGAATCGCCTTCGAACCGCTGCTAGACCGTCGTGAACACCTGCAAAAACTCAACGCTGGAGGAGTTTCCGGCGTAGAGCCACCGACGCTCAAGTCAGTATGTGAAAGAGATGAAGAGAGGCTGCTCTCTGAGAGCAGCAGCAGCTAGAGAGGAAAGAGTGAATGAATGGAAGTTAGGGTTTAGGGTTACCTCACCTCCTTTATATAGGAGGAAACACTTACTTGAATTACCCAAAATGCCCTGGTCGACTCACGTGAGGTCCAAAATGCCCTGGTCGGTTCGTCTCCCCTTATTGCTGAGTCATCGCTAGATTCCCTCTTATCTAGAGCCTCAAGTATGTTGCAAGTGTGATGAGCCGTCATCACGCTTTCGGTCTCTAGGCATAAGAAGTCGACCTCGAGAACTGAGAGGTCGACTTATGATCGCATGAGGATTCGGAGGCTATGCTCTGTTACTCTTAAGTGGAAATCGACTTCTGAAATTGACTGCAGGAAGTCGATCTCGAGGAGTCTACTTACATGGATTCCGTCCCCCTTTCGTAGTTGTTTTGCTGAGTCGACCTTGTAGAAGTCGACTTAGATATGTTGACGGGAGCACATCGACATGTGGATGGTCTGAGTATTACCCGGTCGAGTGGAGAGTTCTTGGGCCGGTATATGATAATATGGCTATATCAATCATCATCATCCCCTATCCATAACGAACGAATTAGCTACTCATATAGAATTAAACACAATTCATCTCAAGTACCCAAGCATTCATATTCAAGGATTAAATGAAAAGGAAAACTTACGATTAATAGAGAATCGAGAATAGAATTCAATTAACAACTTAATCCGAAAAAAATCAAGAAGAAAAATTGAGCAAGATCCAAGATCAAAATTCATGTTTTAGGGTAGCAAATGAAGGAAAACGTGATTACGTATTATTCCTCGGGTCTAGGGGGTCATCCCAATATATAAGGCTCGAAAAACTGAGCAAAAAAAAGAAAAAATGAAGCAAAATAAAAAAACAAGGTCAACTCGGTCACGACTCGCGAATACTCACGAGTCGCAGGTTGGCAGGGGCTGGTGGGGACTGACACGGGGCTGCGTGCGCGGGGCTGCATGCGCGCGTCGCGACCACTGGTCGGGAGCTGCCCGTGCAGCCTCTGAAAATGTCGCGGGTCGCGGGTCCCGCGTCTGATGGTGCTAGGCGTGGGCGAGGCATGGTCGTGGTCGCGAGGCGCGGCTTGAGCTGCACTGCGCCACTTTACGTTTCGGGATCGTTTGGCCTCGTCCGAACTTGGAATTGAGTTTCCTTTTCTTCTATGCGTTGCCAACGAACGCCTCTATTCAATTATGCTCTGAAAACCATTTTTAAAGAAAATAATATCCACCCGAAGCTGCGACCTACACATCATAAATGACAAAACACGAAGAAAACCGAAAAAACAAATGAAAAACACATAAAGACTCAAAACGAAGAAAAACACATAAAAAACACAAAATGGACTAAAAACGAAAGAAACGACCTAAAACAGGGAAAAAAAACAAAACAAGCACGAAAAATGTAACAAAAATGGGACAAACAGTTATAGCCTTGAGATGTTGGCCTTGATCTATGCGTTTTATGCCTTGTCATGTTTAAAATATTTGTGCCTTTTAGATGTCCTCGTCTACTCACATTATTCCAAGTTTCGGCAATCCTTTTGGTAAGCGAAATTCGTTCCGTTTCAAGTTCTCGTGGGAGCCTTTTTGCTAATTAATTTTACCAAGCAAAGCCCAAATATTTTTTGGCCCATTGAACCCATCAAACCCGACCCTTGTGCTAGAAATTTTCAGCCCTAAATTTATGCAAAAACCACCTTCTAATTCTTCAAAAAGTTGGCCCTTATGCTTATTTTTTTGTCACCATTTTGAATTTCAATTCAAACAAGTTTGGCCATGTACGGTAAGAATCTCATCAGCTCCAATCCTCCCAATCAGCCCCCAAATCAGCCCAAGACACCCAAGTAATCGGCCCTAGACATGGCCAAATGGCGGGCCGGTTCAGGGCCCGGCCCGCCGAAAGGGTTGGGTTTTGTCGACCCTGAACCGGCACGCCCTAAACCCGTGCCGGGCCCATGACCCGGCGGGCCGGGCCGGGCCCGACCCGGGTCTGACCCGGAAAAATTTTAAAAAAAAAGAAAAAAATAGAAAAATTCAAAAACAATTGATTTTTCCCGTGCCGAACCGGACCCGGCCCGGCCCGCCGGGTCGGTGTCGAAAAAATACGACCTTGAACCGGCCCGGTTGAAAATCCGAGCCGGGCCCGGACCCGTGGTCAACGGGTTTGACCGGGCCGGGCCCGTGCCGGGTCCGGGCCGGGTCGGCGGGCCGGTTGACCCGTGGCCATGTCTAATCGGCCCCATATTAGCAGCCATATCCCTCAAATAAGGTAAGTATTATTTCCCTCCTTCAAGGTTTTCACTTTCATTTTTCCCCTCATTTTTGGCCCTCATACCAGCAGCTTCAGAACACTAGAAAATTCTTTCAAGTCCCCCAAAAATCTCCTCACTTTCTCTCGAAAAGCTTTCCCCCATCTGAGTAGCCGTGAGCGACTCGCAACCAAACGTTAGCAGCAGCGACTCGTCGAGCCCTTGTCTGCACGCCGACGTGCCTTGTGGAGGAGATCCACGCAACCCTTTACATTAGGCCGTTCATGAGCGAGTAGCCGAGAGCCGCTGAGGAGACCCGCGAGCAAAGTAGCCGAGCACGCGAGATTGTCAAAGCCCTCAAATTCGATCTATCATTTCTCCTTGCTCGTAGATTCAAGAACAGAGGTATTAAATCTAATATCCTCTTGTAAATTGTTCAAAAAGAATTTGAGAAAATGCTTAAGAATCTTGTAAAGTAAAAGATCATTTGAGATCTTGTGAATTTATGAGAAAATTAAAGGGTTATGTGAATGTTTACAATGTTTGGACTCTCAATTGTGCCATGAACCGTGTGAATTTTGATGCTTTGAAGTGAAAAGTCAAGCCTTTACAGCCAAAGATGTGTAAGCTTTAAGACCTTGAAAATCTGATTGTTATAGCCTTGAGATGTTGTACTTGACTCATGCGTTTTATGCCTTGTCCTGTTTAAAATATTTGAGGCTTTTAGCCTTTGAAAATTTGTGTTGTTGAATGTCTTGAACATGTCTTAAAAATGCCTTGAAAATACTTAGAGAAATTGGACTTTGTGTTGTTGTGTCGAGCCTCGTGTTTGAGCTCAAAAATCCACTTTTTGAAACTTACTTTTGAGCCTAACCCCTTAAAAGCCAGTGTTTTCAGACCCGGACCTGCCCGGCGGGTCGACCCCGGACCCGGTCGACCCGGAGCTGGAACCGGTCCGGGTAGAGTATTTGGACCGGGCAACCAAGGACCCGGTCAAACCCGGCCGACTCGGGGCATTGACCCGGCCGGGTCAACCTGGTTGAACTGGTCCATATATATTTTTTTATATTTTTTTTATTTTTTTTGTTTTTTAAAAATAAAAATATGTATATATGTTTATATGGAAAATATTTATCATGAGATATATATTATTAACACTTTAATATACAAATTTTATACACAAAACATTTAATTTTGTTACTTTTATGTATATTTATATAACAAAAATACTCTATATATAATTTTAAAAATTTTAAAATTAGTTATCCGGTTCAGCAATTGACCCGGTGACCCGACGGTTGAACCGGTGACTCAGTGACCCGAGGACCTGTCCGGGTCGATCACCGGACCGGGTTTAAAAACTATGTTGGAAGCACACAGGTATCCAAGAAGTACAAACTCCAACAAGAAGTCTATCACACACTCAAAAATCCAAACTACATAAAGGAGAGAAGAGCTCCATAAAGGAGACTAAATGCCAGATGTCGCTGGACTTAACGAACGAAAAACAACAAATAAAAAAAAAAATGACACACACCTAACAAACAACAAGGTAGAGTAAAACATCCTTAAACCTAACAGTTGAAACTCACAACACTTAACCGTCAACCAAGTCACACTCACAATAAAGAAATCCAACCAAGCAACAAAAATAGACTCCAAACTTGAAAACTGCAGTCACTCTACTGCTTAGACACGAATTTTTGGCCTCAGATCTGAGCCCAAAATATCTTCATTACTTGGAAAAGGAAGGAGATCCGTCACTAGACATGTCAAAACGGGCCGGCAAGACGGGCAACCCATCAAAACCTGCCATTTGGCGGCACGGGGCGGGCCGGCCTGCCATCTCGACGAGCCCGCGGACTGACCCGCCAAGTATTTAAAAAAAGAAGAAAAAATTGCAACAAAAAAAGAAAAAGAAAATTGGAAGGTTTGGGTACAAAGAGGATCAGAAAAAACTTGGCAAAAAAATGGGAGAAAAAAGAAACAAAATTGGAAACAATACAATTGCAAAGCTATAAAAACTAGAAAAAAAAAAAATAANTTTTTAAATTAATGTTGGGCTAGCCCGAGGCCCATCTAGCCCGACTCGCCAAAACCCGCGGTCCGCGCGAGACCGCCCGCTTAGGCCCTTTCTTTGGCGGGCCTTTAAAACATCAGCCCAATCAGCCCAACATAGCCGTCACGAACCCACCGGAGGACTCGAGACGAGAGATTGAGAAGACTACAACCTGCAACCGACCCACCTGCTTTTGCTTGTGTTGATCGGATTATAGATAGGAGGGAGAGAATTTTTTTTTTCTCCTTTTTCGAATTTTTTTGCGCCGACCCACTTGTTTTTGCTTGTGTTGATTTTCACCAAATTGCCTTTCAATGGCCATCTGCAGCACTCATCTCCTTACCGTGTCAGGCCTGTGTAACTGACATAACCGCTCGCCCGTTCTGTAGCATCATCATTTCATTACGCACGCGCGAACAATTTTCTTCGCTTAGCTACCTCAAAAAGTTTCACGCCATCAGCTTTTCCCCTTCAAAATGGTACTTTTCTCTTTCTTTTTGTTATTCAATATAATTCCTTATGACTTCCCAATCGTAATATATACACGCGTGCATGCGCAGTGACACAATAGGATCCGAATACGATTTTATTTTTGACATTCAGATTAATTGATATTCTAATTTCTAAAGGCTATTGCTATTTCCAGAAAAAATAGACTTCCTTTGGACCGCCCAAATCAAGAAGACGATTCTTCTGCTTTCTGCGTCAACCCTCACTCCTCTCTCTTCTTTTGTTCGTGCTTTTCTCTTTATTCTTTTTAAAGAGATATTGATTTGGGTTTTACATTAAGTGTATTTTCCCAAAAAATGGCCCTGCAACATTTTCAAATTGCAGGGGAGATATTAATTATTTTTCTTATTCTTATTTGGAACGCTGTAATTCAAATTGGCGGTGAAATTCCGACGACCCTTGAGGGGCCGTTTATTCCGGTAACTGTGCCGTTGGATAAAAGTTTCAGGGGACATGCAATTGATTTGCCCGATAACGATCCCAGAGTCCAAAGAAACGTTACAGGTTATGGGCCTGAGCAAATTTCAGTTTCCCTATCCTCCACTTATGATTCAGTCTGGATTTCTTGGATTACAGGTTAGATGTTGTCTGTGTTCTTTTTGCTGAATTTATTCGTTTTATTTTTACAAATTTATGTGATTAGAGAATGTTATTGTTTATTTTACTGTTTATTTTATTTTGAACAAATATGGTTCATAGCAACCGGAGGTGATGTGTACTGGATTTTATTTTTACAAGTTTATTGTTAGAGAGAGGCCGTATTTTTACATTAAGGGGTTGATTGATTGTTTATGGATTTAACTAGTTTTTATTTGGTTTGTTTTTTAACTATAGTTAATTTTGAAAAAATGTGGTATGGTTAGTTGTTAGTGGATATATTAAAATAATATTTAAATAAAATAATTAAAGTTGATTTGATGTAAAGTATGAGAAAAATGATTGGAAATGATAGTTAGTTAAAATTATGTGAGTGGATGAATAGTGAATTAAAGTTGATACTTGATATGATGTGTAAAGTATGAGAAGAATGATTTGTTGATATTATTTAATTATATTGATAATATGAGAGATAGTGAAGGTGGTTTGAAGTTGAGTTAAATCTGAGTTTTGATTAATTTTTTTACTGTAGAAATTATAAAGTTTCGCAGACTGATTGATTGACTGATTGTTCTGGCAATTTCATTGTCTAATTTTTTTTTTTTTAAAAAGGCTCATCGGAATTAGGTAATGTACAGTAATACTGGGATTTTTTTTTTATTATGTCAATATAACAGTGAGTGTAAAGGGTATAATTGGATTATCATTCAGGATTGTGACCTGATTTGATGATGCTGATTTTAATTGTAGGGGAGTTTCAAATTGGCAATAACATAAAACCATTGAGCCCGAAAACTGTTGCAAGTGTGGTTCACTATGGAAAGTTGACATATCCTATGACTCTCGAAGCCAAGGGGCAATCGCTCGTTTACAGTCAACTATACCCTTTTGAGGGCCTCCAGAATTATACTTCTGGGATTATTCATCATGTCCTTCTTACAGGTAACTCAACAGACTTCTTGCGAGTCCTTATTCTTATTTATCCTTTGGAAAGTTTCTTATTACTTCGTGATTTTATTTGGGCAATCACTTTAAATTCAGATTGTTTTCTTGATAAAACTATAAATTCCACTGGTACCATTGTTTTTCTGATGTTGAAAAAAATCAAACAAACAATTTACCTCCTTCATAGAAAATGAAGAATTTTGGGTCTGGAGGAATAAAAGATTCATATCTTGTTTCTACTGATATTACCTTTGGTAGTTTCCTTACAGTTATCTTTAGATTTTTTACTATATATTTACTGGAATAACACGAAGACTGCTCAAGGATTGAGAAATGAGGTGGTGCATTTTGTTTTTGGTCATCTCACAAATGCAGCTGAAAAGAATTTCAACACCTGCCGAAAATGTGTAAAAGCCTTTTGAGCTGAAAAAGTAGTTAAGGTGATTGATTTTGTTTTGTGCAGGTCTTGAGCCGAACACATCATATCAGTATATGTGTGGGGACCCATCAATACCTGCAATGAGTGGGATTTATCATTTCAAAACAATGCCGGCTTCTTGTCCTAAAAGCTACCCAAGTCGTATAGCCGTTATGGGAGATTTGGGCCTTACATACAACTCTACTTCCACAGTCGATCATTTGGTGAGCAATAACCCGGATCTTATTTTGTTGGTTGGGGACGTGAGCTATGCTAACATGTACCTCACAAACGGGACTGGCTCTGATTGCTACTATTGCTCGTTTGCGGATACTCCTATACATGAAACCTATCAACCACGTTGGGATTATTGGGGAAGGTAATTACAGCTTAAGCAAGTTACCTCCCTGTTTTGAATTTTATCTGTCACGATTTTGACAATGTTTTGAGGAAATTATGAGAATGTTTTTGTTGTTCTTTTTTCTCTGTAACCCAAAACCATTTACGGAAAGCCCCCCCTTTTTTTTTGTAACATGGTTTATTTGTTAGTAACTATGCCCAGGTGGCTTTACCATTTTTTAAATATTGAGTTGATGATTTACGTCAGTTTCTTATCACAATCCGGATATAGCTTCCAGTTCCTGTAGGATTTTTGCAAGCATTGTTTCCCTGAAATCTAGGAATTTTTCATTCTTTTGGTCCAAGTTGCATTTTGTGTAACTCATTTTCGTTGCTGCCAATATTTGTTTTTCAGGTTTATGCAGCAAGTAATATCTAAAATTCCAATAATGATGGTGCAAGGGAACCATGACATAGAAGAACAGGTTGAAAATAAAACTTTTGCTTCCTACAGTTCTCGATTTGCATTTCCATCAAATGAAAGCGGATCTTCTTCTCCATTCTATTATTCTTTTAATGCGGGTGGGATACATTTTATAGTCCTAGGCGGATATGTTGCCTACAATAAATCAGGTAATCAGAAATTCAAAATTTGTGTCAGGTTAACGCCAGATAGATAATTACATTATTATTATTTATACCTTGATTCTGTTGGCCTCTTTCGAATCAGACGATCAATACAAATGGCTGCAAAAGGATCTGGCGAAAGTTGATCGAGAAGTGACTCCATGGTTAGTTGCCACATGGCACCCGCCTTGGTACACCACTTTCACGGCACACTACAGAGAGGCTGAATGTATGAAAGTAGCTATGGAGGATTTACTTTACAAGAATGGTGTGGATATAGTCTTCAACGGACACGTAAGACTTGTATATAAATGAAATTCTCCAAAACTTGTTCTCAAAGGGGGTGTATTCAATCCGGATTTTTAAGTGACATTTTGAGACTTTTTAAGATTTGAGATTTTTTAAGATTTTCAAATTTTGGAGGAATTATGTGAAATATCAAGTCTGAAGTTGAGATTTGAAGTGAGATTTTGTATGATGTTTTTTGTTTAGAAATCTCATTAAATCTTAAAAAGTCTTAACAAATCTTAGTTTCAAATAAGTTAAATACCTCATGATTTTGTAAGACTTTTTAAAATCTCAATTAAGTACCCCAATACTTTTAAAATCTTAACAAATCTAAATTGAATACATCATGATTTCTAAAGTCTTTAAACGTCCTTAGAAATCCTAATATTAAGAGGACCAATTGCATTTTTTTTTTTTTTTTTTTCCTNGCTTATGAGAGGTCAAACAGAGTGTACAACTATACACTTGATCCATGTGGACCAGTCTACATAGCGATTGGTGATGGTGGAAATAGAGAGAAAATGGCAATAACGCACTCTGATGATCCCGGTTACTGCCCTGAACCATCTACCACGCCCGATCAATTTATGGGTGGATTTTGTGCACATAATTTCACGCGTGGCCCAGCTGCTGGAAAGTTTTGCTGGGACAGACAACCTGAATATAGCGCATATAGGGAATCCAGCTTTGGCCATGGAATCCTAGAGGTATGTCATCTCCCTTTTCCTCTTCTTATCTTTATTTCCTTTTTTATTTTTCGAAACGATAAAAATTTTATAAAAATTAAAAACCACGTAATTACAGCTAGACAATAGTCAGAATAGCCAAGCGGCAAACCAGCTCAATCCAGAAATTTTTTTGCTCTGAATGCACCTAAATAGGCATGGGTTTACTAGAATGATTAATTTTGCAATTTGCTTTATTTATACTTGATATTTGATGCAAATTTAGGTGAAGAATGAGACACATGCTCTTTGGACATGGCACCGTAATCAGGACATGTACAATAAAGTCGGGGATCAGATTTACATTGTGAGGCAACCTGGGAGATGTTCACCCGTGCCAGCTGAGGTCAGGTCGCCCCAACTTCAGCCGCACCGAGTCATCGATGGTCAGGTTGCATCAGCACCCGATCACACCAAGCCATGAACCCCAAGCCACCTTTTTGAGCTTTTGAACTTGTTTTCGAGTCGTGAACTTCTTTTTCTAGTCGGAGCAAAATTTTGAATTCCGAGAACCTTTTTTTCGAGCTTTAAGTACCATTAGCAGAGAGTTTCAAAGTTTAAGAAAATTTTCACTATGTTAAGAACCTTAAGCTAAGAAAATTCTCCAAGTTGGTAATTTAATTTACCAAGTTAAGTTAAGTTATTTATAAGAGTTATAGTTCTATAAATGTAGATTCAAGGAGTCGAGCCCCTCGAGTATCCCCTCAAGTATAAGGTGGGGAATTTAATGCTATGTTTTATTCCTTATAATTACTGTAGTATTATGATTGTTGTATGTTTCATGAGTATTCTTGCCTGTGAGGGGCCAATTTGTAATACCCCGCTTTACTTTTCGAATTATGAGAGTTAAAAATTCATTTTATTTCAAAAGAACTGCCTTTTTCGAAAATACTTATCTTTATCTCGGTATGCTACCATGTCTGAAAACTGCTTTATTATACCATAAGGTATAAAAACTCCTGCATGTCATTTTTATAGTAAATATCTGAGTTACTACACATGCATAAGTTTATACATAACTTTTTTGAAAATCACAGCGGAAGTAAAAATATATTTTTGAAAACATGTTCAAGCTCTGTACATGAAACTTTATTCTTGAACTTATTCTGTAAACTTTGAAAGAACCACGACCATCTATCACCCTTCCTCACGCTCCTTGCTGCTCTTCATAACCTGGGGTAAAAGGTTTGTTGTGGGGAGTTAGGTTCGAATCGGGCAATGGCAAGAGGTACTGGTAGGATCGAGGCGGCCCGTTAGCGCTCCTTCGGTCCTTTCCGCCACCCTACTGCAAGTCACTTTTCACTCTTTTTTATGACTGCGTCTGCTGCTATTGATGTGTCCGCTCCCATTGACAAATATATAAACAGCACATACTAACTGGGACCTCACCTTTGAAGGTCATCGCCATATGGCGAAACTCATACATACATACCTCATACAGGATAAGCGATTAGAAGCTGTAATACCCAGTACTTGGTCCCCACCTATTACTCGTGAATCCTTGTAAGTGTTTTATGTCTGATTGCTGACAGAGGCTGGCCTCCCTTCAAGGTACATAAAATTTAAGCAACTTTACTGGGTCTTTACTTAAACATACTCTTTATGAACCTTCTTGGCTCTGAAAATACTCAAACTTCGATTTATCTGTTCCATAAATCTTGTACAAAAATATGTAACACTTTCTCAACTTCTTCTTATTTGCCAAAAACATCTTATTTTATATCGTACTCTTTGATATAAATTTTTTAGCAAATACTAGCATGCCATAAAAAGTTCAGATCAAAACAATAACCAAAGGCTCAGATATAACCATTTGAAGATTTAGATAGAACATGAAGCATTCGAACTCGACTGCACCACAAACTTAAAAAATTCAAATCTCAGGCTACACTCCTCAAAATGACCCCAAACTTGAATGATAATACTTCTAACTTACACAAGAATTGACCATAAAAATTTCAAACTAGCAGGTTATCTATAGATAGGAAAATTCAAGGTCACAAGTCATCAATACTACGCAAAATTCACTTCGGATAGAACCTTAATCAATGATTTTTATAAAATTCATTTAAAGTCCAAATAATATGAAATTTCACAGGAATATCCTCAACATAATCTTTAATCAACATAAAAATTCTCATAATTTTATGGGCACATTAGGCAAGGCGAAAATCGAATCAAACTTGCTGTAGTAACATGAACTCGAAAATTCCCAACATATAACTTATTTGAACTTAAATTACAAAACCGACTTATTTTCAAGCTCTTTTCAATATTCATGCTTTAATCATCTTAACATATCATGATTAAGCGAGGAAAAATATTGAAATACTCATTACCTCTTTCTTGCTCGAACAATAAAAATCGATAGTTGCTCCTTGAATTCTTCGGTAAAACACCTCTTGACTTTGCTTTTCTTTCTCGACTTCCTTGTTATTCTCGACTTATGAAACTTAATATAAGCTAGACTAAGAACTCAAAATTATAATGAGACTTATAACTAGACTTACTTCCATGAAAGAATACTTAAAAATCGATAACTTTGAACTCTCGGTTCTTACTCGATTCTCACTATGTCTTTCTCTTACAATACTTTGTTCTCTTTTTGTATGGTGTAATCTTCTCATGGCTGAATTCTCCTTGTATAGTTGATGATTTTCGGGGACAATTTTCACCATCTTTTGGCAAAAATATCAAATTAAGACCCCATCACAACTAATATGGTCACCAATTCATAAAAATATTGATCAAACTTCCTAATCTTGATTCTTCCATGCATTTGAACGATTTTGTGCTTATTTTCAGCTGAACATTTGCATATTATACATGCATTAACAGCTCATAGTTTACAAAATCAATGATGCTCCAACTAATGTAGGTTCCACCATAAAAATTAATCTTCAAGTCAACTTTTGTCTCCAAATCCTTAGTACTTTAACTCACGTTTTTTGCTCTTAAAATGGCTGAAAATATTGCTTCTTATGAGTTATCTTGGAATATGCTAAGAAACCAAGAATAACAAAATTTACGGAACCAAATTTGGATTTAAAACGAACGTTTACCGTAAAACCGAAAATTTTAAAATTTAAATCCTTCACTCACGGTTTTTCCTTGCTGAACATATTGCTTCTTAGGAGATAATATAATGATCTTGGAATATGCTAAAATTTACGGAACCAAATTCGGACTTAAACCAAAAATTTACCATAAAACCGAAAATTCTAAAAACTTCGGATTCTCTCTAAATAATTTAAATAGACTAAAATGTCTAAATAAATTTTCTCACTTCTTTGAACATATATAACTTAAATGTTCACGGATACTTAACCGTACTCGAGACCTGACTTGTCTCGATTTCATTTTTCTTACTTTTCTCTCAAGAATATTGGACTCTATTCTTGCCTCGTCTCATTATCATTTTTCTTATCTTATTCAAACTAGGAATGACCAAGTTTACACCGATTTAGCTAAATAAAATGGACCGTTACTTGAACTTGAACTTATCTTAAATAACTTATTCTCTGAAAACTATTGCTGATTATTTATTGACTTACTGACTTACTGTATATAATTATATGGGATATGACACAATTTATGTGTAATCTTGCCAGTGATTGGCAGCGCCTGTGAAATGCCAAGCTTTTATAACACTGCATGTGATTGGTAGCACCTGTGAGATATAAAGCTTGTTATAACCCTGCCTGTGATGGGTAGCACCTGTGAGAGGCATTATGATAAGTTTATTTATGTTGCATGCGAATAGGAAAAATTAGAGATTTAATCCTATAAGTGGACCCATATTGAGATTTAGTCCTCTCGGATACCCACTTTTGGAAAACGTCCTGTAAGTGCCAAAAATCGTGAAAAATCGTCCTCACACCGGCTACCGTAGGTAATTCTTACCGGCTATTGACATGGAGTTTGCTTTCATTTTTTCTTTTCTTTTATGAGCCACGTCGGGAATATAGATCGACAAATGCTATGTCATGCCTTAAATTGGAGGTAAAATTTCACACACACACACACACACAAACCCTAATCGTCATTTTCTCAACCCATAACAAAAAAATTTTCCCTAAATCTCAACGATCCAATTTCTGCAAAATTTCTGTTCACTAAAAATTGTGACGCAGAGGACAATGGACAATCTAATGATGTTCAAACCACCTGAACACTTTGAATTTCCACCACCGGATTATGGTAAGTTCTTGTTTGTTTGTAAATGTTTCGAATCATCAAAAGTTCGTTTCTTAATTTGAGAAATGTTTGTAAATTTTTCGAATTTGAAGTTCATGTGGTATTTTTGAAACCCTAGGTGAAATGTTCATTGTTGTCATCTAATTTGCAGTCCAATTTGACATAATCTATTTTTTTGTTTTATATGCAGACTCGAAAAGCCAACTCTTCACCTTAAGTGTCCATTTTAGGGGACATTTCCATACTAATGGTGGGGAAAAGAAGTACATCGGTGGGGCAGCTTACAAGTTCGACTTCGTCCAAGAAGGTGTGATGTCTTTAGAAGCACTTCACAGGCTGGCAATTAGAGAGAAAATGGAGGGGACCATTACTTACTGGGGAAAAACAGAGGTAGGTCTCATTATTGAAATAAAAAAAAGATGAGGAATTACTTGTTTTCATGAAAGGGGCTATAAATGGTTCTAGAGAGTTCATTATTTATTTTGATAATGGGGTTAAGTGTCTCACATGTGATGAAGACTGTAATGATTGGGAGATAGATGATGAATCATTGGCAAATTATGACTATGAGGCTGAGGTGGGAGTTAAGGTTAGTGGGCAGTATGAAAGAAAGGATTTTGAAGCTGAGGTGGGAGTTAAGGCTGGTGGGCAGTGTGAAAGAAGGGACTGTGAGCCTGAATTGGGTGGTAAAAATGATGAGGGAGATGGTAGTGGTGAGAGTGATAATAGTGAAGACATTGACTTTGAGTCTAATTCTGAAGAATGTGATAATGAAGATGATGATCTTATATTCACTGAACACATAGACTCTGATGTGGAGTGGTGTGATAACAATACATCACTCCATGTTGGAGCTTCTGAAGAAGATGAAGAATTAGGTGATGCAGATGTGGTGGAAAGTGTGGATGACTACCACAGCGGGAAGGAGTATGATGAAGAGGAGGTGAACAAGGAGGTTGCTCCTCTATTCAATCTAGGGAAATTGTACAATCCAAGGTTGAAGCTTGGAATGGTTTTCAGCACAAAGAAAGAAGTTAGGATGGCAGTTCACTCAGATGCAATTAGGAACAAAAGAAATGTGAAAATTACTAAGAATGACACCATCAGATTGCATGCTAAGTGTGTTGAGCCTGATTGTGAATGAAGGATGCATGTTATAGAGGTTAATGATTCAAGGACATATAAAATCAGGGAATATGTCTCCAAACATTTTTGTCCAATGACCATGAATGTTAAAAATCTTAATTCAACTTGGTTAGCTGGGAGATATCTCTACAAGTTCCAGTCAGATCCTACAAGAAAACCTAAAGGATTCAGAGTTGATTGTGTGCAAAGTCTAAGGTGTAATATCACCCCATTTCTGGCATGGACGGCAAAGAAACTTGCTTTGGAGCAGCTGGAATGTAGCATACAGGAATAATACACACTGTTGTGGGCATATGCAAATGAGGTCAGGAGATCTAACCCTAATTCAACTGTGCTAATTGGGCTCCACCAGGATCAAACATTTAAGAGGATTTATGTTTGTTTTGCTTCAGTGAAGATGGGTTTTCTAAATGGGTGCAGAAGGGTTATTGGAGTGGATGTGTGTCATATAAAGAGTGCACAAGGTGGAGTCCTATTAACAGTTGTGGGTTTGGATGCAAACAACAATATTTTTCCTATTTGTTATGATGTTGTTGAAATTGAAAATGGTGAATCATGGGGTTCGTTCTTGAGGTTATTGAAGGCTGATCTTGGAATTGAAAATGATTATGAATGGTGCTTTATGTCAGACAAGCATAAAGGTCTTACCCATGCATGCAATGATGTATTTCCTAATGCTGAATATCGGTTTTGTATTAGACATATGCAAAACAACCTGAGGACAGCTGGTTTTCAAGGACATTCATTCAAAATAGCTGTGTGGAGGGCAGGAAAGGCCACAACTGTGAATGATTTTATAAGGAGGATGTCTGATGTGAGACAACTAGATGAGAAGGCCTATGACTGGCTTAGAAACAAGCCTCCTGCCCAATGGAGTAGATTTCATTTTAGCACATTGGCTAAGTCAGAAAGCCCAAGCTTATCGTCAAATGTCTCTTCTATTACGAAGACCGCCTGGCCGCGAAGCTTATCCCCTTGTTAAACAATCTTTATGAGACCTTTAATGGGAACATTTTGGAGGCTAGACAAAAAACCTATTCTAACTATGCTAGAAATGATTAAGTTGTATTTGATGGAAAAAATGCAAAAGGCCAGAGATAGGGCTAGCAAGAAATGGAAAAGTAGTGTCATTTGCCCTAGGGTTGATAAGATTGTGCAAGAAAACCTGCAGAACATTCCTGATTGTATCCCTATAAAAGCAAGTGAATATAACTATCAGATAAGCTGCAGCAATGGTTCTTAATTTTCTATTGACTTATCCAGTAGGACCTGTGGCTGTTGGAAGTGGGATCTCATTAGAATTCCTTGTGTTCATGTATTCCTGCCATTTGATGTGGGGAGTTTGAAATAAAGGACTTTGTTGATAGATGTTACTATGTGGATACTTACAAAGCTGTATATGCAAGCATCTTGATGCCAATGAATGGTAGGGACCAATGGCCTATGTCCAACTTTATACCTGCCAAGCCCCCCAATTTTGGGAGAGGGGCAGGTAGACCCACAACAACTAGAAGGCTAGAACCTGATGAGGTTGTGCCAAAAGAAAAGAAGAGGAGGAGAAGACAGAAATGTGTTGATCCCCACAAGATTCCAAGGCAAAAGAGTGTGATCACTTGTAGTAACTGTGGTGCAAAGGGTCATAACAAAAATCATTGCAAAAAGCACATCCTTAGGTGAAAAGTCTAGCCGAACTGAATTTGCTAGTCAGCTCACTCAAGAGGATAATCTCCCTCCTACTCCACAGGTGATAATGATATTACATAATTTTTTCTTATCCTCTATGTTTATTCTTATCCTTTACATAATCTTTTATTTTTTCATAATTACATAGTTTCATGAGAATACAACAACTGAATTTACAAGTCAAGTCACTCAAGAAGAAGTTATTCCCCCTCCAACTCCACAGGTGATAATGATAATCATAATGTTATTTCATTTATTTCATTATATGTACTTAATTACTTGCAATTTATAGGTTCCTAAGACCTCAATTCCCAATCCTAAGAAGCCATCTAAGAAGCCATCAAATCCAAATCAGCATATTGCTATCCAGGTGATAATTATTAGTAAAGTTAAGTTATTTACATTTTCATCATAATATGGTGTTGCTATCATGATACTAAAGTTTTTACTGCTTTTCAGGATGGTGCATTGCATGAGGCTACACAGGAACAACCTCCAAACATATGGGACCAACTTCAGTCCCAACAGAACAATGAGCCTGGTGCATCTTCAGCATATAACATGAAGCCCCAGAAATATGTCACATTTTCAGACTTGAATACATGTCTTGCTAAACAAAGTACAAAAATGGTACAGGGGAAGGGCAAAAGAAAGAAGAAGAATTGATGTAGTTGCTTTTTTTGGATGAAGAAACATTAAATAGTGTTTTGATTATGCTATGGTTTGATGTTCTTAAGATTGTTTTTTGGATTGAAATTGGGATTGGTTGTGGTTAGCTTATATTTGGGATCTTAAACACTTAACTATTTGTGTTATAATTATGGCAATGGTTTTATGATTAAGCCTATGTTGGTTTTATGGTTATTGATATGGTTTGATGGTTTGATGCTTTGATGGTTATAGCTTTGGCTATGGTATGATGGTTTAATCTGCTTATACTTATAGCAGTTGTATCAGGTTTTACAGGTTTTATGCTGTTTTGGTGTTGTAGACTTGAGTGTTGGGATGTTGTTTTTAATGCTATATTAGGTTCTAATCTTTTATATGAAATCAATATAACCAAACACATTATGAGATAACCATAACTGATCCTGTGTGAGGTTCAAACACAAGATATAAACACATGATAAGCATAACCAATATTAGGTTCTTAAAAGATAACTTTCTTTTTTGGTTGGAAACAAACTTACTCATGGAAAACAATATCAAGCCAAAATTGATCCTTAAAGATGCATTGATAGCAATGTGGCAGATGCATTACACACACAAGAACTGGTCCTTACACACACACATGGAACTTCAACTTCAACAAGTTCTTAAAATCCCTACACTGAAATTGCTAGTACTTTCTTACACAAATCCAAAACACTTTAACAAAACAATTAAGCACCAAAAAATGTGGCTCACTCATTAGACAAATTCTAAACACTTTAACAAAACAATTAAGCACCAAGAAATTATTAAGTACATCTTCCATTTGCGCCTCTGATTCTCCAAATTTTCAACTTCTTTCATCAGGGTATCCTTCTCTTTCAACAGAGTATCCTTATTTTCAAGAAGGTTCTGGATGACATATGCAGTACGTCGAGGAATTGGGGGATCTTCCAAGCAAAAAAGTCACAGCCTGCATCTTGAATTAGGGCAACAATTGTGTTTCACTTATAAATAATGTTTGTGAATTTTGAAAGAAGAATAAACACATGGTGGAACGGAGAGAGCTTGAGTACACGTTTAAGAAAAAAGAGTACCTCCCAATCTTCACACCCGCGGAATCGCCTACCTAGGTAGGCTGGAGTCCACGAGGTCCACACCTTCGTTTTCTTCCCACCGACAATCTGGCGAAACCCTAGAGTTACTGATCGACGAGGACATGGTGAATTTGTGACTCCCGAATTTGGCAAGATCTCTCAGCTCTCAGCAGCTTTTCCGATTGAGCGATTAGGGTTTGTGTGTGTGTGTGTGTGTGTGTGTGTAATCTTCCCTCCAATTTAAAGCATTAGTTGATCTACATTACCTACGTGGCTCATAAAAGAAAAGAAAAAATGAAAACAAATTCCATGTTAGCAGCCGGTAAGAATTACCTACGGTAGCCGGTGTAAGGACGATTTCTCACGATTTTTGGCACTTACGGGACGTTTTCCAAAAGAGGGTATCCGAGAGTACTAAATCTCAATTTGGGTCCACTTACAGGACTAAATCTCTAATTTTTCCCGTGCGAATATCATGTTATCTGTTAATTATTCTGAATAACTGCATATTATACTTTTCAGGTGGGCTAGTTGTTTGGCTCACTCCCTACAATTATCATTTTTAGGTTGAGCAGATGGCTGTGGACACGGTAGTGCGATGGTGGTCTAATTAATTCTTTTTATTTATTATTTATGCTTCCGAAAAACTTTTACAAACTCCTTATTGTTATTTTATGCTTTGTGAACGAGATTGAGTTTGTTATTTTGAGACTATGTGTTTTCAATTAAGACTAAATATTTTGAACGTTTTGCTTTGTCTTAATTGTGTTGAGAAGTAAGTAAGAATTATGGGATGTGATTGTTGGGATCTGTGAGGATCTCATTATGTACAAATCACGAATTCAATAGCAAATGTAAACCTATGCGCAGCGGATCTAAAGGTTTGATGTAGAGAACTTACAACCTAAAATTTATGGCGATCTGGCTGATCTTCCGGATTGCCGTAAATAGCTCACCAATTAATCAGATCACACGAACGGAACAAGATCGGGCTCGCGTGAATCGATCGGGTCGTGTTGTCGGGCTCGCCGGTTGCGTCGCCTCGCGTCGCGGTCGGGTCGCGATCGTCTCGCCAGTTGTCGCGGCTTCTCACGGCGGCGGTCCAGCTGGGCTGACGGCGATGGCGGTTGACGGCGGGGCTGGTCGGCGGTCCTCGGGCCTTCGGGTTCGGGGATCGTCAATTGCTGTAGAAGATTAATCGGGTCTCGTTTACCTATTGATCTTCTACTGTATTACTCAATACACCCTTCTTCAACTTGTACCAGTGGAGCAACAAGAGGAAGATAAAGCTCGAATGAGATCTAGAGAAAGAGAGAGAGGGGCGGCGGTTTTGGCGTGTGAATGGGATTATATGTCTCTTCTCATGAGCTTAATGACGTATATATAGAGCTACAGTAGAGACCCTTAGGAGATTAAGAATAGGGCTCCTTGATTAATTAGACTAACTGTGGGCCAAGCCCACTCTTCTAATTAATTAAACAATATTAATGGACCACCAACATTATATTATTGCACTCCCTTTTCCTAGCCCAAATTACATTTGAGACTCTAATAATAATTACTCGATTTACCTCCCTACGTTTAAGATATAATGTCCATTAATTAATTCAATTACTGACAATCAAGAATTAATTAATTTATTATTATTTCACTGAAGCTAACGCGTTCATCACATTCTTATTATGCCAGAATTTAATCCACCTGCAGGGTTTAGCATAACAATCCTTGATGAACTAACTCCACGGACATCATCAAACTAACGCATATGGTGACCATAAATATCCTAACAGCACATCTTATATATAACAATATTACCCAAAATAGTAGGAATATTGATCCAGTGAACCGAAACTCACCCATGTGAATCAAAGTAACATATACTATATATATCTGCCTGTTTAATATCTTACGGGTTAAGAAAACGCAGTAATTAACCGAGACCTAGTTCATTTACGACGATCAGTATAAAATGAACTTCTCCTCTCTGGGATCCTGTTCAATACATAAATGTACTAGTGCAACTAATCAGTCAAGACAAACTGTACAGTTGACGCTACAACCGTTCGGATGGGGTGTTCATGTCCATCTAGGTTGTGAACAATTATTCTTGTTCACAAGTAACTGATAGAGTGATCTTTGATTCTCCCGATGATGACCCACTTTATCTATGTGCAGAACAACATAACATAGAGCTTGTTTAATCTAACATGATTCTCATTCACAAAGGGCAAAAGTGTAATAACATGCAAAGCCAAGCTTTCAGTATATAACACTAACAATGATGTCTCTAAGAACCTAAGTGTGCGGTACAGGTTAAGTTTTCAAAGGAAATGAATGAAAGAAAGAAAGATGTTTTAGAAAGTTTTGAATAGAAAAGGTTTCAGTAGTGCTCGAGAAAAGTTTTATTTTGAAAGGCTTTTGAAAAGTTTCAAATTATTTTCGAAAATCTTAACATTTTCCAAAGATAATTAATCGGGCGCTAGAGCGTGGTATCAGAGTAGATCTATGATTCTGTAGTCTTGTAAAATTTTCAAAGTTATAAAATTTGAAAATTATTCGAAAAGTTTTACGTAAGAACACTCGCCACCTTCGTGCAGCGCCAGCTTCAAGGTAAGTATCTTAACATGGTTAAGTTTTAGCATGATGTGACTTCATGTTTGACTCTAGAATGGGGCCTAGGATTTACCCTCGTGTTTCTAAAAGATTTTGAACTATAGTTGGGTTGAATTGTGTTTAACCTAAAGTGTACCATTTTGCTAGTTAATGGCAATAAGAGGAAGAGGAGCTCGAGGCGGTGGCCAGCAGAACCCGCCTGAATGGTGTCCCAGTTCCAAAGCTTTAACCCTCATATGGTCACCGAACAAGATGTGTTGTCTGTAGTGGATGACTGGTTCTTGAAACTAGAGAGGACTTTTGACGTGCTAGCTTGCACGAACCAGCAAAGGATCATTTGTGCCCAGTTCTAGATGGAGGGGTATGTCGGGCGATGGTGGTCTAGCTACTAGAGACTCAAGACGGTAAGCCGAGCATATCGTCTTGACATGGGATCGCATGAATGAGAGTATCGCCGAGAAATAGTATCTACTACACATCCAGGAGCAGATGGAGAGATAGTTCTGGGATATACGCCAGGGTGGACTATCGGTAGAGGAGTATGAGCGGGAGTTTACCCGCTTGAGCCCCTTTGCAGAGCCCCTCATCAACACCAAGGAGAATAAGGCTCGTCATTTCATGAACGACTTCGTGCAGACATCAGGCACATGGTGGCCAACCATGGTTCTCTTTCCTATGCTGAGACGGTTCTCCGAGCTCAGCAAATTGCTGCCAGTTAGAGCATGGAGCTAGCAGTTGCCCAACTCTTGGTGGTTCAGCCGATAGCCGCGTAGCAAGTTGGGATTGCCGACAAGAGAAAATGGAACGACAGGCGTGATCAGCCGAGGAGCAAGGGAGGAGGCGCAAACCAACATGGTGACCGACCCCCAGCTTAGAATGTCCAGCCTATTTGCCAAGCGCCGGACGGACTACCGCAATGTGGCCACTGTGGCAAGGCTCACGGAGGAGTGTGTCCCGCAGACCAGTGAGTCTGATACAAATGTAGGCAGCCCAGACACTTCACATACTAGTGCCCAGAGCGTGACCAGGGGCAGAACCAACAGCCCTGAACCAAGGCAACAGAGCTAAAGTTTTTGCACTAACCTAGACGGAGGCCGAGCAGAACCAAGGTACTATGTCCGACATGTTTCATGTGCACAATATACCTGTATTTGCATTATGCGATACATGAGCAACCAACTCTTTCATTTCATCAAGTTGTTTAAAGGCCACTGGGAGCTCCCGAGGTTAGCTTAGCCTCGAGAAAAATGATAGTCACTGGCTCTCTTGTGAGAAACCTAAATGTTAGCATCGGAGTGAAAGGATTGAAGGCCGATTCCTATGTGATTGACATTAAAGACTTCGATGTCATTCTCGGGATGGATTTGTTGAGCAAGTACCGATTGGACATCCAGTGCCATGATCGTGAGGTGACTCTTACTTGGAGGGAGACGCGAAGATCACTTTCTATGGGGCAAGGGCGAGGACCGTGCCGAGAGTGATTTCTGCGATGAGGGCGATGAAGAGCTTAGAGAATGAGGGTTGCCAGGGATACTTGGTAAATATCGTTGGGAGTGAGACACATAAACCATCACCGAAAGATGTGTCGATCATTCGAGAGTACGTGGACGTCTTTCCGGAGCAGCTATCAGAGGGGCCACCATACAGACAAGTCTAGTTCACAATCGACTTGGTACTGGAAGCAGGTCAAGTGTCCAATGTGTTAGAGTAGGGTACCCGGCGTTCCAATCTAATTGGACGTATTCTACTTGTAAATACAATCTATTGGAATTATATTATTAATAAGGCATTTCTTTATCTTAAGAGAAAGCATTTATCTTATAATTGCACTTAAGATAAAATCCCTAGATCACTTATGGTTATAAGGTATGGTTACGCATAGAGATGGTGATCATGGAACATACCTTGAAAGCCGTGATCTTAAATACAGTTCCAAGTCGATGGATGTTTCGAGATGGGATATCGAATAATCCATAAAAGACTTGCACATAGTTTGTATGCTTGTTGGACAAGAATGTTGCATTCCATCAACATTAGCGTAAGACGTAAGTACATTTATGTGGGTGCTTGTTAGAGAACAAGTTCACTGAACATGACCGTATGAAAATTCTTAATGAAGAATTTATTCAGTCGAATAAGAATTTTCATGTTACAATAGTACATGACTAATCCTAAGACTTGAGGCACAATGGTAACTTTGTGCATATTACATTCTACTTTGATTTATCCTTTTGGTAGCTAGCACTATCGTTTAAAGGGATAAGTTGGGTATTATGTTAATATGTATGGAAGTTTGTTAGTGGCCAATAAAGGATTCGACACTTATGAAGATAAGTGAATTTCCTATGTGTTTCATAGTTATTAATCCAAAGTCCTTGGCCAAGGCAGAGATGAATAGTGATTCATAACCGGGTTAATAAACATGAAATAGAATCATAGTTATTAAGTCAATTTGGGTTTCGACAAAATCATACCCAAGACTTAATCGGGAAATTAGATGTCGAAAGGATTTTACATGTATGGAGTTGTAATCGGAATAGGTTTACTCGCTATTCACTTAATACTAGATTCATGATACTTG